AAGCAGAATAAAACACAATTTAGCTCAATGTTACAAAAGCACTGGTGACCTTCAAGGGTGAGATACATACCCAACGCCTAAGAAGCTATGGGCAACCTTATTTGCTCAACAAAATAAAGTGAGATGTTAAAAAATAATTTTTATCATAATAATCCTATTCAATTTGAGGATTACATTATAACAGTATAAAATTATAATCATAAAATTATTTCAGGTAAAATAACAAATTTTTTTAAGATTCTCATCTCACCATTTCAATTTCTTAAAATCACACTAAATAAGTTATGTTAAATAACTCATCCAAAAACAACAACAAACCTTTATACAACAAATCTTTATACCACTACGTGAGGTCAGCAACATGAATCATTTTTCTTCATTTTGTCATGTTAAGAGTCAAATTCTCAATTAAATCTAATAAAAAAGGTCAACAAACAAACAATTAAAATTATTTAGTTCATGTCCAATATAGCCTAGGTTTTATATAATCATCACTACTTATCATTCCATCTTCATCTTCATCTTCACCTTCACCTTCATCTTCATCCATACCATCTTCTCCCCACCATAATTGACTTTTTATCCATCCCTTCAGACAAATCATTTTCCGATTTACTATTGTTGACCATGAATCTTTTGCACTCACATATAATTAAACATATTTACTAAAATGCATCCTAGTTCTCACATATAATTAAACATATTTACTAACATGCACCTTTGTTTCACCAACTATAAATACACTTTCCACATCATCGCATGTCCACTTGTCATCATTAAAAACTATCTCAACGTCCAACTTAATGTATTAACATCCAACTCTTCTATCAAAGCAAGGTGCTGATAACCATGCCTAGCATCTTAAAGAAAGCATTAGACAATGCGACACTATAATAACCTAGGCAGTGTGCAAAATGCTAAGCTGAAATGCTTAGGAAAACATCTGGCTCGCCTTTAACAATAATCATTCATACAAGTCAATCGAGTAACTTGGAAGAGACACGGCAACACATAGACAAACTTCAAGGCAAGCAATTCTAAATGAGAATGTACTTTTATCAATACTCCAAAACAAAAGTGCATTAGCACTTATGTCAAGTGCAATAAATACTTCACTCACTATGTTTTCCTTCCCCATCTAGAATCCTTATCATCCTTATTTGCACATATCTATCAATCTAGAATCCTAATTTTTGAATGTCTATAAAAAAAGTGACAAAAATGCATGATGCAACATTCAAGATTCGCAAATCAGCTATTTAGCACGAGGCATTATTAGCATCAAAAAGTAAATTTTTTTAAGACTTTTTTTGCAACAAAATTTTAATGTTTTTGGAATACCACAAAACTTACAGTTTACCAATAAAAGAAACAAGGCTAAATCTATCGACTTTATTTTGCATCACAACTAAACCTCCAAGACTACTCAAAAGCCTACTACAATCACTACCTTCCTTGAAAGTATGGGCATTGCGATTTTTGGGCATGGCGTCACCCATTTCCACTCCATTGGATTGCCAATAAATCCTTGAAGGCATGCACACACATAACCTCCATTGGATTGACAATATATCCTTGAAGGCATGCACATAACCTCTGCGTACACTTTGATGTGCAATAACAATGATTAGACCCTCCTCAGCCTGTTGAGCTTGATCTTCTCCATTTTTGTGATGATTACTTAATTGTCATTGTCATTGCAACTATTGACCTCTTGTACATAGCAAGATAGATAACTAAAAGAAGTGTGGATGGTAGCCAAGATTTTAGACCACTTTTTGGCATCGACATCGTGCACAAGGAGGCCGTCAGAAGCACAAACACGGAGGCTCCCTTGTCTCCACTCAGAGATCACAGCATAGTGGATTAAAACAATGATCAAGCAGGATGAGGCAAACTCACTCCACGCCAACTGCATGCAATACACAAATGAGGAGTGTTGCAAACAGCACAAGCAAAGGACGTAAGGACCTCATATGTAACTCTTGACAATGACAATATATGCCCCAAAACAATAAAAGAATCCGACTCTTGCTCTACTAACAAAAAGGACGAAAAGATTAAAAACCAAGTATATGTCATGTAAGTGGGTGTTGTCTAACTAGCAAGAAGGATCATTTGTTGCTGCAACGGTCGTGCTCCACGAGTAATTAAAGATCTTGCTGATTTCAGCTACATTCATGCTGCCCACAATGGCCGCATTGATAGCAAAATGTCAATTTTGCTAACAAGGATGCAAGGCAATATCAACAAGATGGTGCATTTATTTTACAGAAAACTAAACAACTCTGCATAATCAAAATATACTACATTTAATTTAACCCTATATTACCAAAACGCATGCATCAAGAATGCATGCAACCAAATAGAACCTACGCTAGATCACTAGTCAATGCCATTATAGGCATTGTTTAGTTGGTAGAGGCGTGAATTGCAGCTCACTAATATCTTCTTCATTCTGAGTACATACAATTAAAAAAAAATGTCCAACAAATATCCATTCAACAAAAGATGAAATGACATTAAAATAACAACAAACAACATAGTTGTCCTTCCAATAAAATCTATCTTTTGATACAACATTTTTGTTCTCCAATGTTTCTATCAGCAGTACCAATGATATTTCATCAGCTTATTCAATGAGCATGATTGATCTCTGGGTAAACCTCCAATTTGCCAAAAAAAAAGAGTTATCAACATTACTATCCATGCTAGCACTAGAATTATTGAATAGTTTCTTATTATAGTCAGTGGGCTATGCTTATTTCATCATTCCTTAAACATTGTTTTTTAAACCAAGCGTTAACTTAACCTTATCCGATGCTCCCATTCTTCTGTAGATTATCCTTGATCTTGTTTAGGGCCTTTCACAAACCAAGCATGGTATAGAATCCCTCGTAGTGATTGTAAATTGATTCTCTAAAAAGTTCCACTTCGGAGCATGCAAGAAGATTTTGATGCCCTTGATATTGCTCTAATTTTTTTAAATAGATCGACTACATGGTCTACCTCGTAGCCTGATTTCCAATCAAAATGTTAAATTTATTAGCTTCCTTTTGTGAGGACTGGAAACACCTTCAGGACAAACTTACTTGATTTTAACATGTCACCTTCAAAAGGATGGGCGAACTGAGGCAGTTAAACAAATACTAAGCAGCAAGATCCATTGCATTGCTAGAGATCACCTGAAGCAGTGGGATGAAATGTTGTCCCAGGCAGAGCTTGCTTATAATTTAATGATTAATATATCTACCAAAAAAATCCTTTCACCATTGTATATACAAAATTACACAACCAAATCGTGGATTTCATATTTGCAAAAGGAAGAATATGGCAGATTTAGGAAACTCCTTTCATTCCATAATCATTCCTTCGGGGAAAATATCTCAAAAGCTACCTCCAACAACATTTGGTTATAATATATAGGCATGACTCCACTTGCGAGGAGATTCAACAAGTAAGCACAACCAAACACATACTAAAAGTAATTAGCTCTATTGGCACAAGAATAAAAAAACAAGAAAATAATTAAGACTCGGATGTAAATAACAGTTAATAAAAAGGCAATAAAGTGGGGAGTTCAGCGAGCAGCATCAATTTTTAGTCGTTTTCAATTTTCCAAACTATCTAACAAACTAAGAGCTAATTGAATATATGCTCTAGCTTGAGAGGGAATATTAGCGCGAGCATATAATAGAAAAGTTTCATATTTATAGTTGGACTGTATTTATTTTTTGTTCTTTTGAACATAGTATTCGGCTCCCCTATTATAAGGGAACCCCCCGCACCTCTTTTCTCTTTACAAAATAAGACGAATGAATTTTCTTTTCCATCAATAGAAAAAATTAATGTGTGTAAATAACCCCATTTTGATTCCCCAACAAAAGTAGAGGTAGTCTACATTATAAAAAAGCAGCTCAATTTTCCTTACAGCAAACTTCTAACTTAATATACCCAGCCAAAGCCAGTCAGGCAGAAACAGAATAGTGAAAAGATTAGGTTTCTCTGAGCAAATAAATTCATCATCCATAACATAAAATACAAGACAAAAAAAAATTTAATGTCTCTAACAATATTAATAAGACAAATATTGTTTGAAAATAGAGATCAAAAAACATTGGAAGTTGCACATGGACATGACCGTTAGGTTATTTTCAGTTATAACAATAGCTAAAATGACAATGGGAAAAGAAAGAAATCAAATAATTTAAATATGAAGTTGATTTACATGGGGAAGCCGTAGGTTGTCATCAATTTAGAGAAGTATCAAGCAATAAAATATCCACCATAAAGCATTTAAACCAAAGCTTAAAGTAAACATTCAAAGGTAAAAAATGATATTTAAGATGCCAGGCATACTAGGGCAGTTCAATGAGATTTATACATATAAGACAATCCCAGAAAAGAAGCAATGACCTTGACTTCTTTCATCTAAATCGAAAATGGAATGATAAAACGAATGAAACACACACACACACACACACACACACACACACATATATATATATATATATATATTATTTATCAGCATTACTGCAATCACATCACCGCTTATACCAATTGGCTGGTTTCTACTAATTATAGCAACCAAGAATCTTCGAAGTAAAACTGGCTCGATTAGAAAACTATCCAAAATTATGTGCAAAAATGTGTTACAAAAATAAAAGAGTCCAATTTGATAGTAACCCATATAGGAAAGCCAATGATGATTGCTATATTTGATCATTTATTACACAAGACCGTGTGCAAAAACAAGTAATGAAAACAATGAAGCAATTGAAGAAAATGAATCCGAAGCCATATAATTCCTATTCAACATTTCATTGCAGTTTCAGGAAACGAAAAGGTTTAAGGGGATTTACAAGTTAAATGCCCCCAACAATCCCAATTTTGTATGAATGTAAAAGCTAGTTAATATCCTATGTTCCTATTGTAATGGAAAATTTTAAAAAATTCAACACAGCACAACCAAAGAAATGCAAGAATAAAGAAGCTTAAACCTGTTTATTTTGTGGAATGGGAAGTGGTGCAAGTTTAGGCTGTAATGAATGCATCATTGGTCCCTCAACCCTACCAGAGGAATAAAATTCACTTCCTCCTCTATCATGATGGTCGTCTTCATAACCAGTTTTTGAACCCATAAGAGGCTGAGGCATCGATTGTCCCATTTGATTAGGAAACATGGAGCTTCCTGTTTGCATTTGATGACGGCTAGATTCCCCAGTCATCTGATGTGATTGGCTCATGCCAGCTTGTTTGTGGTTAAGAGGGCCCGGCCCACCAAGCTGAGACTGCAGCTGTGGTTGGAATATATTAGCTCCAGATTGTCGAATCTGGGCATGTACAGGTAAGCCTGATGATTGAGAGTTGGCAGGTTGTTGGACCATCGATGGGGAAAGACTTGCCACCTTTGTCTCTTGATGCCCGGCATCCCCCACTCCTGTAAACCCAATTTGTTGTGACTGCTGCTGTGAAGGTTGCTGCCCTTGTAGAAGCATCTCCTGTTGTCTAAAGAATTGTGGCACTTGTGGCACATGTGGCTGCATTCCCTGCTGCTGTGCAGTATGTTGACTCTGTGTGTTCTGTCCTTGTTCATGTGTGTCCCGTAGAACTGGCAATGGTTGGCTCTGCTGCTGTGAAGTCTGGGGCCCTTGAAGCTGTTGCCCCAGTTGATAACCAACTTGAGGCTCCGAAGGCTGCTGCCCAGTTGAATCTTGTGAGAATTTTGGTCCCGGTAACTGCTGACCTTGCTGGTATGGAAACTGAAAAGCTTGTGGCTGTTGCCCTGGTTGATATGGAAATTGTCCTTGGGGGCGTGGCATGATTTGCCCTTGAATGTATGGAATTTGCTGATATGGCGGTTGCTGAAGCTGTGAATAATGCGCTGAAGGCTGCTGCAAAGTCTGCATGGGTTGTTGATTTTGCATTGGTTGCTGTTGTTGATATGGTAGTTGCTGCAATTGCTGGAACGGTATCTGCTGAACTGATTGTTGAACCGGCATTTGTGGCTGACTTTGCTGCTGTTGCTGCACAAGTTGATATGGCTGCTGAAGAGTTTGCTGCCCAGAATGTTGTTGAGGTAAAGACCCATTTAATGGTATGGTTTGGGTGGCTTGACTGGGAGCAGCATTCAGCTTTGACACTGAAGAAGGAAGAGCCGTAGGAAGTGGAGGTGCAGAACCAGCTGGTTTCTCATATTGGGTAACATTTGTTTCAGGATTCCAATAATATAAGACACCAGTACTTCCATCAATAAGCCCTTTCCAGGGCTTTGGGAGAGTTGGATCTTCTGGGGCAAAGCTCGGACCTGCTGACGCTTGAGCAGCCTCAGCAGCAGCCATGGCAAGCTCGTCTTTGTAGAGCAGATCAGCGATCCTTAAGCCAACTACACTAAACAGTCAATTTAATTCCAGTGTTAGTTCTGCCGTCTGTGCTTGATCAAACAAATAATATAATATCATTACTATCACAACATTAGTAATAATTTAAAGTAAAATGCTATTATTATTGTTAATGTAATAGTTAATGATACATGATTATCTTTACAACAAAAAAAATCCACCTCATATTACCATGTAAGAAAAAATATTTTAAGTCGGGAACATAAATATCAATAATTTAGAGTGGCAAATCCTGCAGAAGCATTTGCAGACTCAAACATCCACACAAAACTTATCAACAGAATACTAGAACAAAAAGTGAGTGAGAATGTAAAATTAGTCATTTAGAATGCTAACAGAGATTAATGAATGACAGCCTAGTCAATAGCCGTTGCTCCTACGGATGCAGATTAAAGAAAAGTAAACAAAACAAGCTTTAGTCTGATTGTGCGTTCATATCTTCTGCAGTTCTGCTAAACATGATTTTTCTTTTGATTGTGCAAATCTATATGACTTGCAATTTGTTTTGTGCACAGTTTGGTTTGGTTGAGCCTTTCTTTGGATTCCATCATAGTGTGACCTTTGGCTGGAGATGGATGGAGGTTTTACTTCTTCAATTTTGGTTCACAATTCTGAATAATTTTAGATATAGTTGTGTCTAGAGTAATCAAAACAGTTGGATATAAAATTCATGATTGACAAGAAGGTTGTGCTTTGTGTGTTTCTAACTTCATTATACTTGAAAAATGACTGATAATCTCAAAATATTGTTATTATGCAACCATTAAACATTATGAGTAAATGATCCTATTGACTATCTTGATGCGTGCTTGGATAATTTACTATTAATGAATAGTTGGTTTTACCAAAATATGCCTATTGAACACTTCAAAACGTAGCATGCTTTGCCGGATGTTTAGAATAAATTTGTTAAACCAAACCAAACCAAATAGTTGAAGACCATTTAAAATCAAATCAAATCAAACCAAAAATCCAATTTCAAAAGACTTGGCTCTTAAACCGAAAAACCAAATAGAAACTGAACCTTTAGTTTAATTTGGTTTTAACTACTAGCTGGTTTGGAAGTAAACAAAACCATATACACCCTTAGATAGAACATGTGGCGGTGAGAGATCATAGTCGACGGGCGATGAAGGTCAAACTATGTTGCACATATACGGATACGGCGACACGGATATGACACGATACGGATACAGGACACATCAATTCTTAAAAATACAGGATACGGATACGGCGCGGATACAACATTATAATATATAAATCATACATAAAAATTAAGAAAGTAATCAAAGCGTAATATTTGAAATGACAAAACATTGAATTGGTCTCTGATAGACTATCATCAGACCCAATTATTACGCCACTAGAGCTCATTATCCCACGAAAGGTCGACACAAACACATGAATTTGAAATATAAATTTTTTTTTAAGTAAAAGTGTAGATATGTCGCAGATATGTCGGGGCACTAAGGGGGCGCTACCCCCTGGAGGGGTTCGACCTGTTTTAACTACTAGATGATTTCGAACAAATATTTATTGTAAGAGTTGTTTTAAAGCTTTCTCTAACTTCTCAGTAACCCTCGGTGCCAAGTAGTACAGAGCATTGATATTGAGCATGGTACCGAGCATTGCGGAGAGGTACTGAGCGGTACCGAGTTTCGGTATCGAGCGGTACCGAGCAATACTGAGTACCAAGCGGTACCGAGCAGTACCAAGTACCGAGCCATACCGAGTACCGAGCGGGACCAAGTTCTAGTACCTTTTTTTCATTTTTTTAATAGGACACGCATATCTGATATGTGTGTCCGGTCAAATTTAAATAATATTTTAATTAGACACGGCAAAGCCGTATCTGTGCCATATCGGAGGCGTATTCATATCCGACACATGTCTGATACAGCATGCCTCGTAAATAGGAGTATCCATGCTACATAGAGGTCAAATGAAGGCTCAGATGTGGCTACCAAATGGAGGTTTGACGACGATGGTTAGGCAGAGATCCAACAGCAGCGGTCTGGTAGCGAGGGTTCATTGGCGGTGGAGCTTTGGGATTCTTCAAAGCTCATAGCTCTCTTGAGTCTCTAGCTCTTGGTTTAAGCCTCCAAAAGTCCAAGCCTCTTTTCATGTGTGAAGAGGAGATCTATTTATAGATTTTGAGAGTGACATGCCACTTAAATATGAAAAGGATCCAGGGTAAATTCATAGTCCTCTATTGGACAACTCATACTAATTCCCTCAATCATGGAGCTTCTGTTTAGCATTTAAATGTCTTAATGATGTCAAAATTAAACGATCTTGGGTTTGTTGGATTCATCTCGTCAAACCGCTTGATTCTACTATAAGCATGATGTATTTTGATATCATTTAGCCATCCAATTAATGCTTTGGTGCTTCCAAATATGTTTCAAGCTATTGATTTGACCCATTTGGACTCTGATTGGACCGATTTCAGTATTGTTGGGCTTGTCTAATTGAGAAGTTCAATTTTAACATAAGTTTGCTGAAATTGGAGTTTGGATGATCCTGAATTTAATTTTGAAAGCTGTCAACTTGAATATGCCTGAATATTCATGCTCTATCAAGGTGATTATTGGTGACGTGACAATCCTTTATCACAATTCTTTGGGACAGCTTTATGAATCCTCATTCTTCATTTATTCCCGTTAAGTGTTGATAGAATGTTAATCTATTCTACAAAAATATATTAGTTATTAATGGTTAAATAAAATTAAGAATATCATATATATGTGATTACTCTCTTCTAGTTGATAAAGAATTTTTTATTAATTTCTAATAAATTAAATAATTTGTGGTCCATATTTAATTACCTACAATGGAAACATTACAATAGAAATCTAAAAGAATTATTATTATTAAGCTACGAGTTTATGATTAGCCAGTTGATTGAGCATAGGTATTGTATACTTCATTTAAATACAGTTAATTATCTTTTAGTAAAAGCAAAATAATCACTGATAATAATTAATTAAAAGTTATGTCAAATTGAATACCTTCTAGTTGATGTTAAGCTTGCCCATATGCACTATATTCACCAACAAAACTAAGCTCGTTAGCCCATTTCATAAATCTCGAAAGTAGTTCAAACCCAGAGCTAATTAATGACCCTACGTTTCTTATTGCCCCAAAAAATGTATTAGAAAAAAGAAAAAAAGTGATCAAAGAAACATAAATAACATACCATTCATAACCATATAAAACTATAATTCAGTTTCCTGTGAGTAAAAATTGAACAGCACAGTTAGAATAAACATAATTAGTGAAAGAAGAAGAAACATCTTGAATGTTCAACACAATTCCATACAGACAATGAAATCACACGAAGCTGTAAGTATCACACCATGTTCGAACAATAAAGCAATAAACTGGAATCAAACAGACTCAAAAAAGCAACGCATACAGCCCCGCATCTGAATTTCCAAACTTAACATAAACGACTGATTAAACCCTAGGATGTACCAACAGAACAAATTGCCATCTGCACAGCCTAGAGGCCACAATGGAACTTATAGATAACACTAAGAAAAGGATCCAAGAAGCGGCAAGAAGCAGCGCTCACCTATGCCAAGGAACTCGAAGAGTAGAGGAATTAGGTCGAGATAGGAAGAAAATTTGAGATACCCGCCCTTTCTTTCTTCCTTGGTCGCCTGCAAAGAGTTATCGAAGAAACCCTAGGCTCAGCTCTTACTTCCGCCGCTAGAGGGAGCCAGAGGAGAAACGATTGCACGCGCGGCGCGTGTGACGGGGATTCTGTGCTCCCCTTCGGACGGAGAACGAGCCAGGAAGAACCGTCGAATAAGAGAAATAGAAATTTTTATGCGAATTAAAGCCGTCGCGCTTGCCCCCAAAGGTAGACGATTTATTACTTAAAAAAAAATTATTATTATTACCATTATAAATATATTGAAGACTTAAAAAAATTGTTGGAATTTATAAATTTTAATCTAATTAAATATAATATTTTGAATTAAAGCAAACTTCTTATAGCATTCTTCAAATAAGTTGAACTTACATCCAATTTTAACTTCAAATATCATCTTTAAGATCTAATGATATTGGAATGTTTATATTTTATGACAAAATGACAATTTGTATGTCAAAATGATATAATTTGTTCGAGGTGATTTGCTATGTTATTTGCAACTATATGATTGATGCACGTGATGGGGTACGATGGCCACCAGTGTCGCCCCTTAACAGATTGGTAGTTGGACCATCTAAGCAACCCATGGCGCCTCTTCTATGCAAGCACATATTCATTATAATTGATTGTTTCGTGACTTTTTTTATGACAAAATTTGGAATTATAAGAATTATTATGATCTCATGAGGAATTTGTTTCATCACTTTGGAAAATTATTTCTTTTAATAAATTGGACATTTGGATACAAAAATGATAATTTATTATCAACATTTTTAGCTATCATTAAGATGATCCATGAATAA